GCTGATGCTGCTGCCATTACTATTATTACTACCGTTAATACTATGGTAGGAGAGCACTCTGGGAGGGTATGCAAAGCATTAAAAGCTGAAGGTTGAATATTGAAAAAACAAATCAGATGGTCAAGTACAGCATTGTATTACTGCTTGTACTCTCAGACCTCACACATCGTTTGCCAAAGAAGGGCTACTCCTTTAAACTACCTCCCAGGAGATGCCCGTAAGCACTCAGTCGACCAATGGAATCACTTCACATGCGCACTGTGCATAAAATTATGATGCGTCTGCAGAGGGCCGACTTCCGTAATACCCCATTCCTGGTGAAGTCACTCGAACGGATAAAGGCGGTCAGGTTGTGTTAAATGAGTGACCTTCTCTCCTAATTGACCGATACCTCCACCATTTTACTACTCGTGATAGACCCTGGGCGTTTTGGGTTAATACTACGTACAAGCAGGCGTATCAGCGTCCCTAAAACGTTACAAGGCGTTCTGATTGGTTTGAATATACGAGACTTATTCACTGGAAAGTTCTTCCGAGTAACTGCGTCATCGTTGTACAGCATAAGTACACGGCTAGCTGAATATTATTGTTGTTATCACAGCGTACAATACAACATCAACACGTAAAACATTAATGAGGTCTGAGTAGGTTACGCCTCTACACCCAGTCAGCGGACTTACATATTCCCCAGTCTGCATCTAATCGCTTGCGTCGGAAGACGTTTGGCCCTGGCCATGAACACAACAAACCCAATGTCAAAACAATATTCCTTCCCAAACAGAATGTCGAGGGGGCCGTTGAATGACCCTTGAAATGTCGTAATAATAATTTAGGGAACTGAGACATTTACCAAAAGGCTGAACTATTTCTTATTAGTCTTGCACAAACCAAAACGTCGTACAGTTTTAAGGAACTAAGGCATTTATAAAAAGGCTGAACCCTAGGTGAATGCGGTGAATTAGTAATCAGCAGTAGGTCTTCGGTCAGATAACGGATGGCGTATGCCAGTATAAGTAGTAGAGATGAGCCAACTGAAACAGAAAATAATTGGCTTAGTCGACTAGTTTAGCAATTTCTGGCTAGTTTTTGGTCACCAGCAGCCAGACCGCTGATCCAGCGTGCTTACAGGGTGCGCCACTGATTGTGGATAGACCCTTGGTGTGGAATTAAGCCTGTCTGATAAATTTTAATTACAGAACGTAATCAGCATAAGCCTTGGTACGATTTCACTACCACTGTTTCCCAAAGTAATTCTTCTACCGGAAAATGTTCATGTTCATTCCGTGCTCCTCTAAGACATGTGCAAGTTCTTTGATGAACCTTCACCTGACCGCTAACGGAACTCATATGTCGCGTTCTGCCTTGGGTCTCAACAGATATCCTGATAGCCGTAACATCCGGTAGTAGACAGATATTATTGCCGGCAAAGACCGGTGATTGTTCATCAACGAGTGTGAATATCCCCTGACCCAAACCGATGAGACAACGAGCTCGTACCTCAATAGTTAGAACGTTTGACTCTGACCAAAATGATCTCGAGTTCGAGGCTCGGGTGGAACACCACTTGAGTCTGGGAATGGCTGGCTGACGATGGCTAATAAGCCAGAAATAATCATTCCAGTCTCCCCTGTCTTTGCCGGCAATACTACACGTACAAAATGTTAACGGTTAACAGGACACTGGACGGATGGCCTGTCGAACATGTCAGTAGAAGTATCCGAAATGAAGCAGAATGTGAGGCGGAAGATGATACGAAAACAGCAGATTTAACCGATACATGTAGTACGA